TTATTAGATATCTTTATATCAAATGCTGGAGGAGGAATAAATCCTTTTGTAGTCCTTATGCCCCCTCGCGTCTTATATTCAGCTTTATCTAAGGACCAATAACTACAAGCCTAATGACACTGAAGTAAAGGCTCATTTAGATCTTCGAACCTAGTCAGATGCGGTTGAGTATAATTGGGTGGATTCATAAATAATGGGAATTACATTGACTCTAAGCATTGAGGATGCAACCTACTACAGAATTGCTGACGTATCCCCAGTATGCAGCCTGTTGGTATCAAGCGCTCTCATACCCCTGACAGAGCAAAACTTCCAACTACCGCTCCAGAGGTTCCCCAGTAAGTTGCCCAACTTCTCAGGTTTCTCCAGCAGGATTTCACGAAGTCTACCAGCAATATCCGGCGTTTCCCTTCTATAATAGAGTTTATTTCTCTAATGATTGGAAACTAACTCATCAGTGCTTCAAGAGGGATTTATTTTCCCCACTTCCAACAACACTACGGCACGAACGATCTTTAAGTCCATACATTTGCATTCATACGTCATAACATTAACAACACAAGTACATACAGTGCAATCTCATTTATTTTGAGAAACAATATCATACCATGCATTGCATACATCATAGCATTGCATACAATTAACTCTTCACCTTTTGCAGGAAAGAATCAATTGACAGGAAATTGTTATCAACAAATTTTCGACAGACAAATATTTTCAACAAGTCAAATACAGATCAATTCCCAAGAAAAGACTGGTCGACCATCTACATAGCAAAATATTTCTTTCAAACTCCTGCTGGTTCAGATAAATCTCTCAACAGTTTATTCTGATTCGTTTCCAGATTCTTACTGGTTCAGATAAATCTCTCAACGGTTTATTCTGATTCGTTTCCAGATTCTTACTGGTTCAGATAAATATCTCAACGGTTTATTCTGATTTGTTTCCAGATTCTTACTGGTTCAGATAAACTTCTCAACAGATTATTCCGATTTGTTTCCAGATTCTTACTGGTTCAGATAAATCTCTCAACGGTTTATTCTGATTCATTTCCAGATTCTTACTGGTTCAGATAAATCTCTCAACGGTTTATTCTGATTCGTTTCCAGATTCTTACTGGTTCAGATAAATCTCTCAACGGTTTATTCTGATTCATTTCCAGATTCTTACTGGTTCAGATAAATCTCTCAACGGTTTATTCTGATTCGTTTCCAGATTCTTACTGGTTCAGATAAATCTCTCAACGGTTTATTCTGATTCGTTTCCAGATTCTTACTGGTTCAGATAAATCTCTCAACGGTTTATTCTGATTCGTTTCCAGATTCTTACTGGTTCAGATAAATCTCTCAATGGTTTATTCTGATTCGTTTCCAGATTCTTACTGGTTCAGATAAATCTCTCAACGGTTTATTCTGATTCATTTCTAGATATTTACTAGTTCAGATAAATCTCTCAACGGTTTATTCTGATTCGTTTCTAGATTGTTACTGGTTCAGATAAATCTCTCAATGGTTTATTCTGATTTGTTTCCAGATTCTTACTGGTTCAGATAAATCTCTCAACGGTTTATTCTGATTCGTTTCCAGATTCTTACTGGTTCAGATAAATCTCCCAACAGTTTATTCTGTTCCGTTTCCAGATTCTTACTGGTTCAGATAAATCTCTCAACGGTTTATTCTGATTCATTTCCAGATTCTTACTGGTTCAGATAAACCTCTCAACGGTTTATTCTGATTCGTTTCCAGATTCTTAATGGTTTAGATAAATCTCTCAACGGTTTATTCTAATTCATTCCCAGATTTTTACTGGGTCAGATAAATCTCTCAGCGGTTTATTCTGATTCGTTTTCTGTTAAAATCGAGTTCAGACTTTCTGTCAACAATCACCTTTGGATGGAATCTATAAGCCCATCCCCGACAACTCTCCATCATTTCTCCAAATGACATCTTTAAGCCCATTCCCTACACAATCAACCAGCACATCATCAAGTGCAAATTTCTGGATACTCTAGTTTTCAATCATCTTCTACTTTCAACCCGCGAACGACAAACACGTCGGTCTCACTTTTCAAGTTTAAGAAGATTGAACAGGAGCAGCTGTTGTACCCCAAAATTTTCCCTCCCATTTTTCACTCAAGATGCTATCCTAGAGTTTTTCAAACACTCATTTTGGCTCAAAAGTTGATCAAGCAGATTCTCTTCCTGAGCAACCAGTCAGCAATTAGGGTTTTGCACTTCTCAAAAGAAATTAAGTAGTCAAGGTTTCAAATAAGTCACCATGTCTCCTCAAAGTTATTTAAGTCAGTTTTCAAACCCCACATTGCAAGTTTTCCCAATCCATGGCCCAGATAACTAAAAAGGCATTTGTGTGATTTTAAGTTTTTCTTAACTATAATCTTCTGAGGGTTGATGTTACTTTTGAGAGCATGTTCTGTTTGAATAAGATATAAAGTCTAAAACTATCATTTTAAGCAATCATGATTGTGGGTCCAATTAATCAATTGGGTTTGAGATTTTAAACATTTATTTTGTTTAAGAGTGCAAAATACATGATTTATCCTATCATATTATGTTTACTTAAAATGCAAGTTATCAAGCCAAGATGTTTTATTCAAAACATTCAATTAAGAATTGTAAAGTTAAAATAGAACTCAAAGTTTGGTACAACAAATTCATCATTCATACATTTCTTTCAAATGTTATGTTTATTATTACATTCTTTGACAATTTGTAAGAAAGGATTTACAATGCAAAATATAAATTGCAAATTTTTTGTCTTGTTTACACAAAAAAATCACAAGTAATTTACAAGGAAAGAATTGCTTCTTCTTCAAGACTCTTTGCTTCATCTTCAAGAAATTCCTCATTGCTAGCCATGATTTTCTCTTCATCTTGTCTTGCTTGCCATTCAATTGTTTGTACATGTAACAAAAGAAAGAAAAGAATATTAGCAAATAATCAACATTGAAAAGTCCAAGCAAAAAAATTGATTTTCATCACTAGGGTTTGCTTTTAGAAATCAAAATTTTGTTTGTCCATTTCTCCCTATTTCTGCAAATCTCAAAACCTAGGTTTTAGTTCACAAAAAAAGGGGAAAAAGAGAAAAATATACAAAATGGACAGGCAAGGCAGCAAAGCAACAGGCTGCAAACAGCAGCAGACAAATGCACAACAAGCCAAACAAGCCCAACGATACTGCAACAATCAAACAACAGCATAAGAGGCAAGGCAACAGGCTACAAACAGCAGCAGTCACATTTAAGGCAGAACCAAACCTGCTGCGAACCAACAAGAAAATACAACAAAGGCTACAATAGAACAAAACAAACAATATACAAGCAACAAGCCAAAGGCATCAAATATTGCAACACAAGTCAACATATCATCACTTTCCTAAAAAACAAGCAAACCCTTCAGAAAATATATCAAAAGCAAAAGTGATTTATTTCATCAAAAGAGGAAAGAGGAAAGATATCACCTAGCCAGCAAATAATCTAAAGCCATGCCAAGATAAACAGGCTGTTATTGCTACAAAGGCATGCTATAAAAACAGTCCAAGAAGACTTGCACTAAAATGGAAACAGTTCAAACTGCATTCAAAAGTCCAAAGCTAGAAAAACCAAAACTGTCAAAATTCACAAGTTTTTCCCTCCTGTTTTCACCCTACTTTGATAACAAGGATACCACTGTTTTATAAAAAGAGAGGAGACTATTTGAACAAAGGGAGAGAACCATCAGATATCAGAAAAAATATAGAACTAGCAAATAACACACCACAAAACCAGAAATTAACCATACCTCACTGATCAGAAGCCAACAAAATCATCAAAATATCACAAAGACCATCACTGCATAACCATCAAAACATCACAAAACCAGAAGCCAACATAACCATCAAAACATCACAAAACCATAAGCCAAGAAAATCATCAAAACATCACAAAGACCATCACTGCATAACCATCAAAACATCACAAAACCAGAAGCCAACATAACCATCAAAACATCACAAAACCAGAAGCCAACATAGCCATCAAAACATCACAAAACTAGAACCAACAGATTTTCAGAGCATCAAAAAGCCAGAAATCAAAAAGCCACAGATTTTTCAAGCAAATCAATAACTCAGAGAGATAGCAAAAGCCAAATCCTAATCTTCATTGTTATCCTACCCCAACAATCATCCCAACATATTCAGAAGAAGAGAAAGAGATTCAGAAAAATGTCCGGATGTGATTGTATTGTAGAAATTCTTCATAGGAGTTTGATATTCGCTAAGGTGGAGATTGTTGAGTATGACTCATATTATGTGGAAACTCCGAAACGAGTCTTAAATCCAATTATTTGTTGTGGGTAGGTAATTGGAGGTGCGGAGACTTTAGGATTATTATTGTAAACTGAACCCTAATATTATATATATATATATATATATATATATATATATATATATATATATATATATATATATATATATATATATATATATATATATATATATATTGTAACATTATAACTCTGATTAATCTGAATTATTAGATAGAAATAAAGAGAACTATAGTTTCTCTATAGTCGTAGAGGTAAGCATCATTGACTGAAGTGCGTTAACAAACACCAATTGTGTTCATTGTCTTTTATTTCTGTTTCTCTTTAACTTCTATACTAATTGTTGTTCTAACAATCATACGTGTGATTTTGTCGTCTGATACTGATACCGAAAAGTCTTCGAATTTGGGAAAACATTAATTTAGATAAAATAAGTAATATTAAAAAATAAAATAAAAAACTTTAAGAATAAGAATATTTTGCAGTTTATTATTCAAACTTCAAGTTTGGTGTGTCTCATGTGTTCAAGAATTAATTCATCTTATGAGTCACTTTTTATTCTTCCTTCCCAACTATATAAAATATGACCCCATAACATATATTATATAAATGGTACTAGTTATGTACAATTTCCCCTGAACCACAATGCTAGTTGGAGAATCTTCTAAGTTTCACGTTTTATTTAAACAAAAGAGCTTCTTTTGGCATTTCCAATAGGGACAAGACTGTGGCCAGAATATGCTTTGATGTAAGACCTGCTTCTTCAATCTGATCATTGGGTGATCCATGGTCAATGTATCTATCAGGAAGCATCATTGCTCTCCACTGCATGTGGGAAAAGTTTAGAAGGAAATTAATTAGTACTTCACAAAACAACATTCAAAGAACAAAAATAATCTAAAAGAGAATGACTTATCCATGTTTTCTTACCTTAAGTGGTCCATCAAGGAGACCGGCTAGGCTTAAGAATTGAGAAACATGTGATCCAAAACCACCAATAGAACCCTCTTCCACAGTGATGAGTATTTCATGCTCTTTAGCTAGTAGCCTAATGAGATTTGTGTCCAAAGGTTTGCAAAACCTAGCATCAGCAACTGTCACATTAACCCCTACTGCTCTAAGCATTTCTGCTGCTTTCATGCTTTGCTGAACCATAGTGCCATATCCCAAAATTGCAACTCTGCTTCCTTCTATCAGAATTCTACCTTTTCCAATCTACATAACAAAACAAATATATTTCAATATGGTTGGCTAATTATGAAGCACTCACACATACACGGATATCAGATACAATACTGACACATTGACAAGTAGACATCAGACATGTGTCTGTGTCAGACACCAAACATGTATCGATATTCAGTACTGCATAGTATAGTATGCGAACCTCAAGTGGAGTTCCTTTGTTATTGAGAGGAAGATTGGCTCCAATTCCGTTACCCCTTGGAAATCTGAAGCAACTTGGTCTGTCATCTATAGCTGCTGCAGTTGCAACCATGTGCATCAATTCAGCTTCATCAGATGGAGCCATGACAACCATGTTAGGCAAACAAGCCATGAAAGTGATATCAAATGCTCCACAATGAGTTGGTCCATCAGCACCGACTAAACCAGCCCTATCCATCGCAAATCGGACAGGTAGTTTTTGAAGATCAACATCATGAACTACCTGATCATATCCGCGTTGCAGGAATGATGAATAGATAGCACAGAATGGTTTGAGACCTTCAGCAGCTAACCCTGCTGCAAATGTAACAGCATGTTGTTCGGCTATCCCAACATCGAAACAACGATCTGGATACCTATTCTGGAAATAGTTTAGGCCAGTTCCACCACCCATTGCTGCATGAATTGCTACAATCTTATTGTCTGTTTCAGCTTCTTTTATCAACGATTCAGCGAAGTACTGCGTGTATGCAAGTGTAGGAGGTTTTGGCTTGTACTGCTGGCCTGTTTTTGGGTTAAACTTGACAACACCTGAAAGTAAGAAAGTAACATCCTTAAGAATTGCTCATCGTAATCATTACTCCGGACTAAAATATAGACTAGATACATGTAACTAAGCTAAAACTCGAAGCAAGAAAAGAAATTTTCCCTTTCTCACCGTGCATTTTATCGGCTGCTGCTTCAGCTGGGGCATATCCCTTTCCTTTTTCTGTGACAATATGAATCAAAACCGGACCTGGTGCTGGCATTGCTTTCACTTCTTCGAATATGCCTACTAGATCTTCGATGCTATGACCATCGACAGGACCAATGTAGTATAAACCAAGCTCCTCAAAGATAGAAGAACCAGTACCACTAATAAAATCTCTTGCATACTTATCTACTTTTGATGCAACTTGGTGTGTTGGTCCTCCTAAGTGCTTTGTGAAGCTCTATAGCAGATAAACTTAGAGTCAGATTCCAAAAAGGTGTTAAAGTTTGTGCTTTGTTGACGTGTTAGTGTCGATGTTGTGTCAGGTGTCCGTGTCTGTGTACGTGCTTCATAGGAAGTAACTTATACATAAACACTTAAATGAAAAGCGATTAATTGATTTGTTTATCCAAACAAGGTCCAAGACAAGTTTAAAAGTCTTACTTTTGCAGCTTCTCTAACTATGCGGAATTTTCTGCTTGCTTGAATTTTGCTTAAAGTGCTACTAAGTGCTCCAACTGGTGTGGCAGGGCCATCAAGTGTTGCAGTTGGTAAAGAAACTTGTTTGTTATCATTCAGAATAACAATCATGTTAGATTCAAGGAATCCTGCATTGTTCATGGCCTCGTAAGCTTGGCCTGCAGTCATTGCTCCATCTCCAATCACCGAAATCACATGGTTGCTCTTTCCCAATATATCCCTCCCAACTGCCATGCCTGTAACAAATGAAAATTTATTATGCTATACGTTATGAACATGTTGACACGAAATTATAGCTATAATGTTAAGCTTAAAGATTCTTACCAAGACCAGCTGATATACTTGTGGAACTGTGTCCTACACCAAAAGCATCATGAACACTTTCATCCCTTTTAGGAAAACCTGCTAGTCCAGATGTTTGTCTAATGGTGTGCATCCTTGACCTTCTACCTGTCAGAATCTTGTGAGGGTATGCCTGCAATTTGGTTATTTCTATTTAGACTCTCTTACACATGACAAAAACATTAAATTATAATGGTTGCCACGGCCCAACCCAAAGATTGTTTGCACCCAGTGGAATTTGAACCTCAGACCTTGACTTTGAGAGGAGTACTCTCGGGTCCCAAGCATTCCCTCAGGTCAACCCTTGGGGTTAATGCGGCATATAACTTGATCGGACTTTCTATGTTCCGACTTCATATTTACGATCCAGTTTCGCAAAGTTGAATTACTAGCCGTTTAATTAAGATCGGACGACTAAGATTGTTTGACCGCATAATTTCCTAGTATTCCGAAATCAGAAACTTTTTACAAGAGAAAATTTCTTCACATAGAAAAGATTTTTTTCTTTTTCAATTAAATTATTAATTGGTATTACAAGATAAAATAAGAAGAAGAAGAAAAAGTGTAACCTGATGTCCAACATCCCAAATGATCTTATCATCAGGTGTGCTGAAAACATGATGAAGAGCCACTGATAACTCCACCACTCCCAAACTTGAGCTAAGATGCCCACCACTGTTTGACACACTATGAACAACGTCTGCCCTTAGTTCTGCTGACAATTGCTCTAGATCCTGTAAAATACATACATCATCAGTAACAACCAAACTATATCTCACTAATTAGAATCGGCAAAATCAGTGTTGTTTGAGTCCAAAATTTGTCACAGTTAAACCATAGTTAAAAAAGACTCATAAATTGTGTGTCAGATGACTAATATACAGAGAGACGACTCTGGACACCAAAATGTTTGTCAATATTATATCTCAATCTAACCTCTGTGGACAGATTCTTCATATGAGATGGATAATTAATTGTATCCAACAATGGTGTCAATGGTTTCTCATTAGAGAATTTGATCGTCCATTCATCTTTTGCTTTCCCTATAACAGTCCTTTCACCATCACCACTGTTCGACGAAGCCTTCACACAGACCTGAAAACAAAAACACACAACCACACATAAACATCATCCATCATTGCATCATCAACAAAAAAAAAACACATGTGCATGTGATTTACCAACCTGGTTTCTGTAACCATGGTAAGGACTTGAAACTCTGTATTTGTGAGATGGAACAACAGAATGGCTTGGCTTAAGGAAGGAGCTAGTGAAAGCCATTTTGTGTGTGATAGAAGAAAATTGGAAGAAGTGTTTGGAAGTTATAAAGATTGAAGAATGATAAAAGAGACAACACAAAAGCCAGAAGTAACTCTGTTCTGTTGTTTTTTGTATTTAAAATTTGAATAGAGAAGTTCTATATATAATTGAGTGAAGATGCCTAAGCAAAACAATCCATGTTCAAATTTTTTATTAATTAATTCTTTGTACTTTTAATTTATTGGGTTTGGTCTTATCCTTCATGTATCTTTATTATTTTACTATTATTATTATTATTTTCGTATTTTACAAGGTTTTTTAAATATAATTGGAAAAAAATATTATTTATGTCCATATTAATAATAATTTTACAATTGTTTTAATATCAAATTTAAATTATGTTTGTCAAGATTAATCAACGTAAATATCAATTTTTCAAATTTTAAAGTCATCTCGATAAATCATAAGAGTTTATTAATTTTAAACTCCGTTCTAATCTTAATGAATCATGAGAGTTCACTAACTTTATAAATTTTAAAATCAATAAATTATAAGAGTTTATTAATTTTATAAATTTTAAAATTCACTATGATTTCGGTGAATCACGGAAATTTATTAAATTTATGTAATAAAAAAATATTATGTGTCTTAGCATAAATTTTGAATGTAAATTAAAATAGAGCTTTTATGGTTAAGTCATTTTTGTTTTTAAATTTTAATTAATTATTAATTTCTTTTCCATGTATTTTGACAGAATAAAGTATTTTATTTTAAATAACAAAACTGTTAAAAAATAATGAATTTTTTTCATGAAATCCTTTAATGATATTTAATATTTTTTTCTTTTAGTGAGTTCTAAAATTTCCTTCAAAATTAATTTTGTTCAAATTAAAAAACAGAACAGTCAAAAGAGAAGTCAAAATATAGAATTTTATAGTATGTGTGTATTATTATATTCAACACTAATAAAATTTGTCATTTCCCCATTAATTTATTGCAAAAAGAAAATCCGAATGTAAAAGGACAAAACTGACTTTTCCAAAATTGAAGTTTTTCCAAAAACAAAACTCAAGAGAAACAAAAATTGCTTTTTGCCGTCTGTGAGGTCATTACAAGTTTTTTTTTTTATACATAACTAACGGCATATTAAAAAAAAACTAACTAACTATACGAAAATTTTACCTAATGCCGTTGGTTGTATTTAGTTTTAAATGTATTTTGATTATTTTTTAATAAAATTGTGCGATTTTCAATAGCTTTTGCAATTTATATTTTACAGATTTGTATTTTATAAATCAGATTAAATTGTATTGTGTTATAAAATTTTATAGAATATTGTATATGTTTTTTTAAATATTTTAAAGAAATTAACCTGTACTATACGTACATTTTATCAAATTTTTGTATGTTATTTATTTTAATTCTATATATTTATTTTTGTTTTCACTTTTAATTTGTTAGTGTTTGATAATGATAAGATTAAAAAAAAAAATTTACAATCCTAGATTTAGTGATAAAAAAATTATAGGATTAATTACAAGAAAATTATTCTAGATTTAGTGACATGATAAACGTGTGATAAGAAAATGGACAGTTGTGACCTGTTTATCACGTCATTAAAAATTTTTAATATTAAAATAATAAATATAACGTTAATATTAAAAAATATATATTGTGGCGTGAAATTTACGATGCAACATTTAAATTAAAATAAAAAAAAATTAAAGGGTCGGGAGTTCTAAAGGGGGGAAATTTGACAATTTCAAAAATTAGATTGTGACATTTATATCACGTCGCAACACTTTAAGAGGAAAAACTATTTGATCTTGAAGTGATGGGGTGTTGGGGTGTAGGTTGACTGACTTAAAGTTATGACCGTTGGAATCGTTGCGACATGATTTTTATTTCGCAAGGTTGTGATGTAAAAATCACGTCGCTGCCTTATTATGACTCACTTAAATTTCTAACCGTTGTGGTGATGCGACGTGAATAACATGTGACAAGGTTGCAATGTGAAAATTATATCATTGTCTTATTATGATTGACTTAAATTTTTAACTATTGTAGTGTTGCGACGTGAATAACATGTGACAAGGTTGCGACTTGAAATTCACGTCATAAATGAGTTTTTTTTTTTGTAGTGTATAGCATAGGATCACATGCTTATAACTATAAGGTATAGTATTTCAAATTTATTTAAGAATGAAATTTAATGTATATTGTTCTTTAGATATACATTAAGATAAAATCATAAGATGTAATTTATATTTATGCATCAAATTATAAAGTTCTTTTGATATTATAAACTTATTTTATAGTAATGTATGAGTGTTTAAAAATAAATTATATTGTCCTACATATGTGCATGTATGGTTTAATAAATTTTTTGTAAGAAATCGAATGTAATAAAATCATAAAATTATATTATTATTATTATTATTATTATTATTATTATGAAAAAATGTCTAAAAATAAAATTATTATTATTATTATTATTAAAAACAAAATGTCTAAAAATAAAATTATTATTATTATTATTATTATTATTATTATTAAAAACAAAATGTCTAAAAATAAAATTATTATTATTATTATTATTATTAAAAATAAAATGTTTTTCTTTCATTTTGTATGTTTCGTGACGTCTCTAACTATCTCATATTAAATTCACGTGGCAAATGAACTTATTTTTTGTAGTGTATAACATAGGATCACATATATGCACTTGCTTATAATTATACACTATAGTATTTCAAATTTATTTAAGAATGAAATTTGATGTATATAATTCTTTAGATATACAGTAAGATAAAATCATAAGATACAATTCATATTTATGCATCAAATTATAAAGCTATTTTAATAATTATAAACTTATTTTATAGTAATGTATGAATGTCTAAAAACAAAATTATATTGTCCTATATATGTGTATGTATGATTCAATAAATTTTTTGTAAGAAATCAAATGTAATAAAATCATAAAATTATATTATTATTATTATTACTATTATTATTAAAAACAAAATGTCTAAAAATAAAATTATTATTATTATTATTATTATTAAAATTAAAATAATTTTCTTTCATTTTGTATGTTTTGTGACGACTCTAACTATCTTATACTAAATTCACGTCGCAAATGAGCTTATTTTTTATAGTGTATAGCATAGGGTCACATGTATGCACTTACTTATAACTATATACTATAGTATTTCAAATTTATTTAAGAATAAAATTTGATGTATATTGTTCTTTAGCTATACAGTAAGATAAAATCATAAGATGCAATTCATGTTTATGCATCAAATTATAAAGCTATTTTAATAATTATAAACTTATTTTATTGTAATATATGAATGTCTAAAAATAAAATTATATTGTCCTATATATGTGTATGTATGGTTCAATAAAATTTTTGTAAGAAAACAAATGTAATAAAATCATAAAATTATATTATTATTATTATTATTATTATTATTATTATTATTATTATTATTATTATTATTATTATTATTATTATTATTATTATTAAAAACAAAATGTCTAAAAATAAAATTATTATTATAATTATTATTATTATTAAAAATAAAATGATTTTCTTTCATTTTGTATGTTTTGTGACGACTCTAACCATCTCATACTAAATTTACGTCACAAATGAGTTTATTTTTTATAGTGTATAGCATAGGATCACATGTATGCACTTGCTTATAAATATACACTATAATATTTCAAATTTATTTAAGAATAAAATTTGATGTATATTGTTCTTTAGATATACAGTAAGATAAAATCATAAGATGCAATTCATATTTATGCATCAAATTATAAAGTTATTTTAATAATTATAAACTTATTTTATAGTAATGTATGAATGTCTAAAAACAAAATTATATTGTCCTACATATGTGTATGTATGGTTCAATAAAATTTTTGTAAGAAATCGAATGTAATAAAATCATAGAATTATATTATTATTATTATTATTATTATTATTATTATTATTATTATTATTATTATTATTATTATTATTATTATTATTATTATTATTATTATTATTGTTATTTTTATTATTATTAAAAACAAAATGTCTAAAAATAAAATTACTATTATTATTATTATTATTATAAATAAAATGATTTTCTTTCATTTTGTATGTTTCGTGACGACTCTAACTATCTTAAAATAAATAATATTTTTATTTTATTTAGAAAAGAAAAAAATACAAATTAAATAAATGCAAAGGCACAACTCCAACAACATCAACATATAAAAATATTTTTGTGATTTAGTCAGACATCATAATTGTCGATGTCTTTTTTAGACCTATAATAGTTATCTCTTTTAACCAATGTAATAAAATCAGCTTGAAACAATCAATTAAAATTGGTTCAATCAAGAATCAGGCTTAATACCAGACCAATTAAGCCTAATAAAATTCCTTCTAAAATTCGATTAAGAAATTGTTAAACAATAAAGGAAAAAAACACTTCAAATTTAAAAAAAAAATCGATGGTTGATTGATTTGTCAAAAGTCAGCCTCTTCAAACATAAGAACCAGAAAAAGACTTTAATGCCTTGACAAAAAAATAAAATGAAAACAAAAATGTTATGTAGGTTATATTAATGGAATGAGAATGAATGGAGTATTATCAGATGAATTAGAATAAAAATTATTTTTTAAATTAATTAAAATTAGGTAGTGTAGAATATAATGATAAATTTGTTTAAAAATAACTATATGGTGTTTCAACATTTAAGTCCAAAATAACCTCCCATTCTTCAACAAACAATCAATGTCCAGTCGCCAAATAAAATATTTGTTGATGCAGTCTCAAACATTTGCGATATCCCAATAAGCCAACTACTAGTTCCCTGCTTGAAAGGAGACCTGCTAACAATCACAATCCCTGAGGAGGAATACAACTTAGGCTTAGTAGCACATATGCATAACCTCAATGGAAGAATACTATGGCCTAAAGGCTCATCTCCAATCACAATTACAAGTATCAAATCCA